TTTTTTACATAAGAATAGCATTTAAATTAATAGAATTTAAAAAGGGAAGAGATCATCCTTCATAATGTGAGTGGACCTCCCATGATCAATTGAAGCCTTAATAGAACAAGAATGAGCAGAAGGACCTCTGCCAGCGGAGTGCCCTTGGGCATGAGCGGTCTCCTCCTGGGCCTCCAGCCTGCCCGCTGTGCAGATTTTAAACCTGCAACATCTGCGGCCCTATGGGCCAATCCCTTAAGATCTGTCTCCTGTGTGTGTGTGTGTGTGTGTGTGTGTTCCCAGCACTGGGGATGAACCCCCGGGGTACTCACCACTGAGCTACATAGCCAGCCCCTTTTATTTTGAGATGGGGTCTCTCTAAGTTTCTGAGGCTGGCCTCCAACTTACCATCCTCCTGCCGTAGCCTCCTGAGTTGTTGGGGTGACAGGTGTGCGCCTGTCTTCTCTGATTTCTCTTGTTGGGTCTTTTCCTGGGGACCCCTGTCTCTGCATCTGTCTCCTCAGTCACAATTGTCTTGCGAGTCGGGCTGCCACTCTCCCATTTTGTAGATGACAAAACTAGGGTGCAGAGAGGGCACTTGCCCAGGGTGTGGTGTCGCTGGGAACCAGCCAGCTCTGTGTGGCCCCCAAACTCCTCTCTCCCCCACCCTGACGTCCACCCCTGGTGCTGACCGTCCTGGGGAGACCTGCTCCACTCGGCCGATGGCTCGCAGGGGAGCACCCACGGCCCGTTGGCTGGAGCCCGGTCAGGCCCAGGCCCAGGCAGGCCCGCTGACCTCTGGAGGGCCGTGTCCTGGCCCGTGTCCACCTTCAGGTAGCAGAGGAGGGCTGTTTCTAGCCACGTCTCCCTTCATAGTCCCCCTCAGGACCGTGGGCATGGAGGGTCAGAGCTGGGGAGGCGGGGGGCCCATCCCGACCCCCTCGTGGCCACCGCTGATTGGTGTGAGACGGGGCTTGCCTCCAGACAGGGAGCCCACGCGAGGGTGTGCCCCAGGACAGAGGACAGTACCTGGGGCGCCCTGACCCCAGCAGACGAGGGGAAGGCTGGCACTTCAGGATCCAGGGCCACACGTGACTTGCCCAGGTCACTCAGTGCAGAGCTGGCTGGGTCTTGGCAGACTGGCTCTGCAGCCTCCGTGTGGTGCTGGGGACGAACCTGGGCCTCATGTGCTAGGCCAGCGCCCTGCCCCTGAGTGGCACCCCCAGCTCCTGTAGCCTCCACGGCGACCTCACCAGGTCGGTCACTCTCGGCTTCTGTGGCAGGGTTGGTGGAGGTCAGAGGAGGAAGAACCGGCCAAGGTCATGTAACTGGTTAGTGGAAGTGGGCTTGAACCCAGGCTGGGCCCGCGGCTCCTGCTGCCTGGCCCACTGCTCCCACAGGCCCCTGGCTCCCGCATGCTCTGCCCGGGCCATTGTATCCCCCCCTCCCCCAGTGTCCTTTTAGCGGGCCAAGGGGTGACAAAACCACCACTCACTCTGTTCCCGTGGCCCTCCCCCACCCTGAGCTTGGGGCTGGTGGCCTTTGAGGCCCAGCGACTGCTCCCTGCCTGGGGAACTCGGGCCTCTTTGCATGGTCACCACCGTAAGTCCCCGTGTCCGCGGTCACCCAAGGAGTCCTTCATTTCCCTGCTGTGGCCAGGGGCCCAGCCGCAGCCTGGGTTGAAGCGGAACCATTTGACTGAGGCCGGACGTCCCTGCCACCGCTGTCCCACGGGCTTCAGTGGTGCGTGCCCTCTAAGGAAATGAGTGGCCACCTGGGCCAGCTCCAGGCCTTGGGTCTGGCCCGAGCTTCAGCGGGGTGGGCAGAGGAAGTCAGGTGCGGGCCTGGCCCCTCTGCGGCCCTGGCCTTCCGCAGCGGACCTGGGCTCTGCGTAGAGGCTGTACTGAGCTGGACGCGCCATGCCCGGGCATCGAGCCCAGTGCTTCAGACACCACGTCTCATCCCCTGCCCAGACCCAGGGAGCTCCCGTGTTTCCATTTTACAGACGGGGACATTGACGCCCAGGCAGGGGAACGGGTCACCAGGGGGGAATGACCAGCCTGGCTTCATCCCACATCTCCATTTGACGAGCACTTGGCATAGCCAGCCCCAGAGCCAGACAGGCTTGGGACAGGATCCTGGCCTTGACCCTCTTCCCTGTGCCCTGGCCTCCCAGCTCCGGGGCTGACGTTCTCAGGAAGCTGAGGAGGGAATGAAAAGTTTAAAAATGAGGTCCCTCCCACAGATTTCGCGTAAGGGCACTCGATGAGCGAGAACCAGCAATTCCACCCTCCGTGACGTGTCTGCCTCCCAGAAACACGCGTGCCAGGAAGGGGGCGATTCGGGTGCAGCTGAGGACCCACTGGCAGGGCGGTCTTCTCACGGATTTCCTTGGGCCACGCCAGCCTGGGACCGAGGTGGAGATATGTCAGCCCCATTTTACAGACGAGAGACCGAGGCTCCGGGAGGTAGCGAGGGACCCAGGCAGGTTTGGTGAGGCGGGAGGAGCAGTGTCCACGCCACAGCAGTCACCCGGCTGGGAAGTCCTGGGGGAGCCCTGGGGCCAGCCTGGCCTTCCGCTCTCCGAGGGGCAGGATGAGGAGACTGCTGGGGCCGAGCCCTCTGAGAACTGCGGCCAGGCCTCCCCAGCCGGCCTCCCCCAGCAGGCTGGAGAGCAGCTTGTCCCCCCGCCCTCCTCTGGGCTCCCTGCAGCCCAGCGTTGCCTGGCCGAGGGTGTGCTGGGAGAAGGGACCGGCAGGAGGGGCGGAAAGCAAGTAGGAGAAGACAGGCAGGGTGGGGGGCCGCGGCCTTGCCCCGGGCCCAGCCCCACCCACACCAGGGCCCGGGGGAAGGAAGTGCAGGGCGGCCCCCTCCGGCCACTGCGCCCAGGTCCTCTCCGCAGCACCGGGGAGCGGATGCCAAGGCAAATGGGCACCTTCTGGACTGGTCATTTCCATGGCCCGCCCCTCCCCTTCCCTGCCTCCCCACAGGTTTTGCATAAGTCTGTCGTGGCTGGCTGTCACCATGGTGACCAGTGGCTGCTCAGTGTGAGCGCAGGGACATCCGGTCCTGGACCAGGCTCTGAGGGTTGTTGGTCCACCTGGGGGTGCACGCCATCACTGGACGACGATCACCAACGTGGCGTCCTGGGGACACTGGATGACGTCCACTCTGTTGCCCTGGGATGGGGGCAGAGCTGGACCAGAAGCCAGGTGCCGGGCATCATCCAGTGCTCAGAGAGAGCATCTGTCCCTGCTGACAGCCTGCTCAGGGGAACCCCATTGTTCCTCTTTATTGGAACCCCTCAGTCTCCGCGGATCCTGTAGGGTCCCATTACAGCCTTGGGCAGCTTCTGTCCATATAACTGGTGGGTCGCTTTGACCGAGTCACTGCCCCTCTCTGAACCTCAGTCTCATCTTCTGCAGGATGGGAAGATAGTGGTCACACCTTGAAAGGTAGAATAGCCTAAGGTGACAGAGCGTAGCCATGCTCAGCACAGGAGCTGGCAGGTGGGGAGCCCTCAAGACGCGTCACCATAGAAACGCCTTGAGCTCATCACGGTCACTGGACACTGAGGCTCCACGGCACAGGTCGGCCTGCCCACCTGGGCTGCCCTGCAGGGGCCCTGAGGTCTGTCCCTTGTGTGTCCCTGGCTCTCATGTCATGGCCAGTCCAGCCCAGGACCCCCGGCTCCTGTGTCCTCACAGATGACACGTGCAGTCCTAGCGCCTCCCTGTGGCGGTGCCAGGAGCCGATCCTCCTCCAACACCTGTCTTGAGGGGGCACCGAGTGGGGGAAGGGCAGCACTGTCCTCCTCCTGGTGGGAGCACAGGTTTACGTGGGCCCGGGGTCAAGGACAGGCCCAAGATCACCAGGGAACCCTGAGCCCAGGCCTCGCTGGCTGGTTTTCTGTGTTTTTCTCAGTGACAGGGACTGAGCCCACCAAGCTCCCGCCCCGGGTCCTGTTGGTTTTCATTTTGAGACGGGCTCTGGCGGGTTGGCCAGGCTGCCTGGAGCTTGCCATCCTCCTGCCCCCGCCTCCCGACTCCCTGGGGTCCCAGGCGCGGCCGCCACTGCTACTGACTTCAAATGCCCACGGTCTCACCTCGGGGACATTGGCCAGGAGGGGGTGCCCCTGCTCTGGAGCTGCTGAAGACACCCCACTTCCTCAGGGCAACAGAGGGACACTCAGCTGGGCAAGGAGCCGGGGTGTCCCTGGTGGCTGTCCGTTTTGTTACAAGGAGGGACGACCTAGCACTTTGGCAGTCTCCCCTTTCTCCGGGGCCTGCCCTGCGCCCTGCTGTTTGCAGACGCTATTTTATTCAATTCCCACGCCACCGTCCCATGAGCCGAGTCATGATCCTTATTTCAATGGGGAGGAAACAGAGCCTCAGAGAGGTTAGCCAGCCTGCCTTTGGTCACACAGCCAGGCTGATGTCAAATAAAAGCCGTCAGAGTCGCGCTGCCTCGGGGTTCCCAGCAGGAACGGGTCACAAGGCGAGGCTGGTAACAGGTCCTGGTCACGTGCAGGTGAGGGCTTTGCTGCCCAGCGGGTCCTTGAACAGGTGTGGGGCAGTGTCTTGGAGGAGGAGGAGCTTAACAGAGGTCACCTGTCACCTGTCTCTGTCCCCTCTTCATATCTTGGAGCCCCTCTCTGCTCAGCACCTTGGACCCCACAGCAGGTGAATGCCAGGGTCAGCTCTGAGCGGTTCGATTGCCCCTGAGGCTCTTCCAGGCCCTGTCCTGGCCGTGTGGACAGGCCTTCTGTGTCCCCTGGTGGCGCCTCCTCCACCCGAGTCCTGGTGGGCACTTGGAGGGGCTCATCACAGAGCTGGGGGCGGCTGGCTGACCATGTGGCTGTCAGGAGCGAGGCCCCGGAACAGTAACCCCGTGATGTCACGTGGAATGGCGGGCGGGTGACCTGCCCTGCTGAGTTCCAGCTCCTCGGCGCCCGAGTGGGGGTGGGGACCGCCTGGCTGTGGGGAGCACTGAAGGAGATGGGGCGGCAGGCCGTCCTGATGCCTGGCTCTTGCTGACGGAGGCCACTGGGGCACCCCGTGGGCCAGGTCCTGTGCCAGGCCTGGTCTGGCTGGGCTCTTGGGGTCTTTTGGCACCTGTCCCATGTCCTGGGAGTGCCGGGGCCCTCAACATTCTGAAATGTTGAACGTCAGGGAGAAGAAACTTGTTCCCAGCCAAGTGGCAGGAGTGAGGCTGTGGCCAGGTCACGGGGTCTTCTCCCTCCAAATGGGGTCCTCTCCCAGGCCCCCCTGTGCCTCAGGAAGGACTCCCTGGTTCTGGTCTCCTCTCCTGTCCCAGAGCCCTGGAAGCCCCCCACCTGTCCTGGTGCCCCACGGTCAGCAGCAGGACCGTCGCTATGTAAATGTCTGTGCAAATGTCCTGGGTCTAGCCTCCGGCTCCTCAGGGAGGCAGAGCCTCCTCCGGACACCGTCACTTCAGGGCCATGGGGCGCCCGCGGAGGACGTTCCCCTCCCTAATCCTCTTGCTGCAGGTCCTGGCCGGGCCGACCCGGGCCAGCGAGAACTCCGAGTTCTCTCTGGCTGGGGACTACCTGCTGGGTGGCCTCTTCACCCTCCATGCCAACATGAAGGGCCCTGCCCACCTCGACGTCCTGCAGGTGCCCAAGTGCAAGGAGTGAGTCTTGGTGGGCGGCTGGGCGCGGTGGCGGGCGGGGACCAGGGCTGGGCCAGGGCGAGGCTTAGGGGACTCGCCTCAGGCCCCCCGTCTGGGTGCAGCCTGCAGGTGCCCCGGGAGGCCACGCACAGTCCACGTCACTGAATCTCTGACGATGGCATTTTGTGACCCTGAGACCTGGGTCCTCCCAATGTCACGTCTGTCTGTGGCGTTACAGGACGCTGGAGCTTAGAGGGGTCCGAGAGACTCGTTCTTGCCACCTTGGCAATGGGGGAGGCCAGGGAGGCCACACAGGCTGGTCAGACGGGGCCTGCCCTTGGGAGGCTGACGTGGTCTCCTCAGTGGGTTCTCAGGTGGACGAGAGGCCTGCGAGTTCCAGGGGGGCAGGGGGCTTCCAGGGCTGCAGGGGGTCTCCTCCGCTCCTCCTCCATGAGCCCCTCAGGATGACAGTCACCGGGACATTGGGGGGACATCTTCCTGCCAGCACGAGGCCAGACGCTGGAGCCAGCCTGGGATGACACAGTGACCCTGCCACAGAAGGGGGGCGCTCCAGGGGGCAGAGGGGAGGGGCAGGGAGGAAGACGGCCGAGGGCTGACCACAGGTGCACCCCAGTGACAGAGCACCAGATGACAGGCTGGGCTGAGTGGCGAGGGAAGGTGCTGGTGTGACACCGAGCGAGGAGCTGGGTCTTCTGATGCTGTGAAGGGCAGTCTAGTGACGGGAGGCTGGTGGCAGGCGTGGGTGGTGAGACTGATGCTGTTGATGCCATGGTGCTGGTGGAGGAGCACTGTGGGGCTGGTGCTGGTGGTGAGGGCAACAGTGGTAGCGATGGTGACAGTGGTGGTGGTGATGGTGGTGATGGTGATGGTGGTCATGGTGATGGTGGCGATGGTGTTGTTGTTGTTGGTGGTGATGATGGTGGTGGTGGTGGTGATGGTGGTGGTGGTGGTGGTATTGGTGATGGTGGTGATGGTGGTGATGGTGGCGATAGTGGTGGTGGTATTGGTGGTGGTGGTGGTGATGGTAGTGATGGTGATGGTGGTGATATTCTAGGTACTAGATTTACTTGGGTTTGGCATA